AGTTGAAGTAGATCTTCTTATTCATCATATTATAGATTACTCTAGTATCTCTTTTTTCGTTGATTTGCTGACAAAGATAACTCACCATCCCTTTCCCTTTTCTTCTATTCCTTTTCATCTCTTTTTCATCAACTCTATGCTACTTTCCCTTTTTATCATATATGTCAAACTCGGCTTCATACGTAGTCCCATAATTAGTCTCATCTTTTCCTCCTTATCATCAGTTTTCACACTGCCACTGATTTAAAGCTACCCAATGCCATAAGTTGTTTGTAAATACCCATACATTGAAAGCCATTGTCTCACGAGTCCAGCTAGCATGGTTCGGCAAATATATGTGCATATCTATATTTCAGTATTTGAGATAACTAGCCGTGGATGAGAAGCATTAGCGAAACTTGTGGGGTATTCTATGTCTCCATGATGGTGACAAATGCCCAAAAGTAACCTCGACCATTCTCTAAGCCTTTTATTAACTAGCCGTGGTTTGGCATAAGTCTATGTCTCGAACCACCTATCCAAGAATTTATGTAAAGTGTAAAAAATTAATTCAACCCAAAAGCTTTAAGCTGTTTGGTGAAGCTATATTAATGGTTCTATATTTCTCTAATATGTCCACTCAGGAAATATTTAATATGGTCCAGCCCATCTATGATTCAGTGGTCCAAGCCAATAAAAAATGAGTATTTTCTGACTTGCTTACATGGAGGAGAGAGAAATTTTATTTTTTTCTCCAAGTGACAGTTCCTCAATGAAAGGAGTATGTGTGCCAGGACTACTATAAATACTCTTGTCCACTCACACAAGAATTTATTGGGCTTAAAGAGTAGATGATACATAAAACGTAGCCTACCAAAATTCCACACAACATGAAGGCATACCAAATATTTTTATATTTATATATCTAACTTGATCCCAAGCAAGAATCTTTTGGGTTTGAAAGATAGAAAATACTCCAAATGAAATATTTTGTGGTAAGAAATTTCACCATCTTTGTTTTGTTATTTTCTTTTCTTATTATTGTATTTTGTACTCTCTTGCTGAAATCTCGTACCATTTTTTTTTAATACAAAAAGTTTAGGTTGGGTAAGAATATCGATATCCCACTAAAGCTAGTTAGGGAAGAACCCCCAACTTCATTGAGTATTTTTAAGAGAGATTACATAACGTCCAATCAACAACAAAGTCTTTACATCCGTTAGCAGAGTTTGAACTCACATTTTAATGAGATAAGAGCCAAACCTTTAACCAACTATGCCATCAATGGTTTGAACTCTCGTACCATTGAAAAAGTGTTTCAGTGAAGTGGCAAGATCCGTGAGTCTCACCACCTTGCTTTATGAAGAAATTATGGGTTGAGACCATGGCGCAAGCCTGATATGATTGGGCACTCCGGGGGCCACGGCCCCCTAACTTTGTTGGGTCCGCGTATGATATTGGGCCGCCCTAACTTAAAAAAAAAAAAAAACAGTGATATACTACAATTCATTACGTGGAATCAGAAGAATGAATATCCAAATATGCCATGTTAAAACCACTTTCTGCAGTGTTCATCCTTCATCAAGTACCCACTACTTGGAGACAACTTTTTAAGCCATGAGCCTCTGATCTATATATTACCATCCCTTTTTACATGTGGAAGTTTTAATTATTGCTTATCCAGTTAAGCCTAAGAGCTATAGTTATTGAGATATATAGTCCCATATTGATTGGATGAGCAACTAATATGACCTTTATAAGGTTTTGGACACTCCCACCCTTTGAGCTAGCTTTTGGGGTGGTGACCTCAAGGTTCTTAACATGGTATCAAAGCTTGAGGTTCGATCCTCATCGCCCCCACTTTAAAGTGGAAGCACAAAAAAGTAAACCAAAGATTGGGCCTATTGCATAATCCACGCTTGCCAAGAGGACTCTTGCGTGAGGGGGCGTGTTGAGATATATAGTCCCACATTGGTTGAAGAGCAACTAATGTGGAGTTTATAAGGCCTTGGGCACTCCTACCCCTTGAGCTAGCTTTTGGGGTGGTGTATCCCAAGGTTCTTTACATAAGGCTTTGGGCACTCCCACTAGCTTTTGGGGTGGTGACCTCAAGGTTCTTAACAATAGTTACGATATTTTAATTATTCTAATTGTCGCGTAATATTCTAGTCTTATATATAGTGCTGCTTTAATTGGGACAATATTGCTGATAAAGCCTTTGCTTAGATCATAACCTTAGAAATTTTTAATTTCATTTTGAAAATAATTATATTTCTTTATTATTTTCTCTCATAACTTTCTTTATTTTCTTTAGTTCAAAGTCTAAGATGTATTTGTTTCTGAGCTATCCAAAAAAAAAAAACGTATGTTTCTGATTTTTAATTACCGAGGAGTATCATTCATGATGAATTTTCTTTTTCATAAAAAATTACTAAATAAATGTTTCTTATATTTTCTTGTATTTGTAATTGTTTCTTATTTTATTTATTGTAACGGTTACAGAATAATTTCTCGTTTTTTTGTCAAATTGTTTGTCTTTTTTCTATAATTTTTTTTTAAATTAGCATTTACTCACTTGTATATCCTTTTTCATTACACTATTCACTCTAAAAAAATTAAGAAAATAACGTTCTCTCATTAACGATTCTCAAAATTAGAAAACTAAAAGTAATTTAAATTGCAAATACATAAAGCTCATGTTCATCAATTTAAAAATATATTTTGATTTGTTTGTAAAGAAAATGTACCACACATAAATTTTTTTTAATGAACATATACATGAAATGAAACAAAATAAATAAAATGTTAGAAAAAATAATAAATTTTAAGAAAATAATTCGTAAGTTTATATCTAATAAAAGTAAAAACTCTAAAACAAAATCCATTAAACTTTATTATAAACTATATATTTAATAACTAAAAAAAACTTTTAATACCTTAAGCCACCCCTACATCACATCAGACATCAATTAAAGACAAGTTTATTGCCTTTGATTATATTTATACGTGGAAATAAAAGACAAAAAAAGTTGGTATCTCATCTCAGTCAATCAATTCCTTGCTAGCTGGCCATGTATATATATATATATATGGAAAAAAAAAGTTTCTGATGTTACTTTAGATAACTTTATCTAATGTTCATCGAAACGACGTTGTTTTGGGGTTGAAAAATTAGAGTGATAAAAATTATTATAACCCTGAAATAAATTAAAATTACAAAAATACCATGATTTTCGTCCCAAAACGACATCATTTTGATGAACATTAGATAAAATTATTTAAAGTAACATCATAAAAAACAAACCCTATATATATATAATAACACTATGACTACAAGCAAAGTAGAGGAAGGGCTAGCTTACAAGTTACACTTATCAGGGCAAAATTATTCACTGTGCATTATCTGACAATTTAAAATTTGAGATAATTAGTTCCTAATGCGGAATTAGAAAACTCCCTGTCTGCCAAGCCGAAGTCAATATTATTTATTAAGCCCCATAATTTTATTATATCATATTAAGTACTAATTACATTATATATATATATATATATATATATATATATATATATATATATATAAAAGCTTATAAGTAAAATCCTTGTTTTATTTTCTTAATTCGGTATCTAATAATTTTTGTCTCACTTCTTAATTATATTCTTATTAATTATCAATTTTTTTTAAAAAATTGACTACATGAGAACATATGCACAAAGTTATAACTTATAAGTAAATAAAAAAATAAAAAAATAAAAACCAGTAAATTTTGTAAGTATAATAAATTATATATTAGGGATTATTTATATACTTATCAAGGAAACCAATAACGAAAATCATTTCTTTACTTTTTAACAAAATTAAAATACAATTGACGGTCATTCATCCTATTTAAGATGTTGTGGTGATACTATAAAACAGTGTAAAATACAACATAAATTATAATTGTTAATATTTAAATTAACTATGAAATCTGAATTGATGGAATTAAATTTTACATTGAGATTTGTTGTTGTTATGGATCCGTATACGGGGCTTATTGAATGACAGACTCAATAATGGACAATTCAAGATTTAAATCAAGTGTAATTATGGATAGTATCAATCAAGAATACTAATCCTAATATGACAGTGTAGCAGACAAGCCTGAGCCCTCATCAGAACTTTGAAAGGTCCACATCGTATTATCCACAAGTAACCTCTATAAATAAAAGGTAAATCCTAAATGTACGTTAGGCTCTCTCCCTTAGTGTTCTGCTGTCACCGTGTGCACATACACCCCATTGGCAAAAGCCGTTATTAGTTCGTTGCGTACAACTATCTGCTTGGCTCAAGGGTATCTCTTTCATATATACCTTGAAGAGGGTAGATCCAAGATCAACATACCAGCCTATTAGGCTGGACGTCTCTGTCTCCAAGACAGAATAGTTGGGATTATATATATTTTTCTTAAAATTGATTTTAGTCATTTATACATATGTTTAAATTTATGAATTATATTTCAATATAGGAATATAGATTATTTTACCTACCTTTTTTCTGCCTATCTTTGTCTACCACTCTCCAATACAGTTAGATCATAATCTAAAGAGGAGAGAGAAAGATAAATGTTAATTAAGATTATGATCTAATGAAATTTTAGAATTGTAGGCAAAAAAAAAAAAAAATTGAAAGTAGAATAACCTATCCCTTCAATATAATACCGATAAATATAATAAATTTAAGAGACTAGTCGTACTTAACATCTGTTTTAATCTTATAGGTGTTGGATATAAATTTAATCCAATTCTAATAAAAGTGGTTAGTATAACATGCCTGAGCTTAAATACCTTAACCCGCCCCTACATCACATCAGACAACAATTAAAGACAAGTTTATTGATTTTCATTTTTCATTTATTTTATATAAAAGACAAAACTGTTAAGTAGGTAATCTACGTCAATTAATGGCTTGCTAGATAGCTATATATATGAAATAACATTAAGACTATAGGTTATAAAATTAGATATAATTCATACAAATCACCATGTCTCAGCATCAATCAACCATTGATCCTTCAAAGAACCAGGATGGTACTCTCACCAGACACATGCAATTCCAAAACACACAAGCCACACAAGACCTAGACACTACCCTCGTTAATGTTCTCTCCAAAGATGTCCCCCTTAACCCTATCAACAGCAATTGGCTACGTATATTCCTACCCCGCACTGCACTCTCCAACCAGAGAAAACTTCCTCTGATTGTGTATTACCATGGTGGTGGTTTTGTATACCTAAGTGCTTCTTCCACCATAAACCATGACTTCTGCTTCAAATTGGCTGAAAAACTCCCCGCCGTGATTGCCTCCGTCGACTACCGTCTTGCCCCGGCATCCCGCCTCCCCGCCGCCTATGACGACGCCGTTGAAGCCTTGCATTGGCTGAGAGTCACCGATGAGAAATGGGTATGTGAATTTGGTGATGTTTCCAATTGTTATCTCATGGGATCCAGTGCGGGAGGGAACATGGCTTACCATGCAGGGCTACGTGCATCCGTTGGTAAGTTTGACCCTTTGAAGATCAGAGGGTTGATATTACACCAGCCCTTTTTTGGTGGGTCCCAAAGAACTGAGTCTGAGTTGCGGTTGATTAATGATCCTGTTCTGCCTCTTAGGAGCTGCGATCAGATGTGGGAGTTGGCATTGCCAGAGGGTGCGAACAGGGACCACAAGTATTGCAATCCGACTGTTGTAGAAGAAGGGGATGATATCTGCTTTGATGAAATCAAACGGTTGAGATGGAAGATTCTTGTTACGGGTTGTTATGGAGACCCTTTGATTGATCGTCAAGTGCGGTTGGTGGAGATGTTGAGAAGCAGAGGTGTTGATGTTGTGGGACACTTTGGAGAAGGTTTTCATGGGATAGAACTTTTGGACCCAAGCAAAGACGAGCCCCTCTTTGTTCGAGTGAAAGATTTTATACACCAATGCTAGCATAAATCTAGACAAGTGTCATTGGTTAACCAATACAGACATATTTGAACTTAAAAAAACGAATACAGATGATGGTAATGAGAAATGTTTACCTTTGTTATGTAATCAATCTAACCTATGAGGTTATGATATTATCAATGTATTCGGAGATAAAGTCAATGGTAGCATGAATTGTTACATAAGAAATCATTTTCTTATATTGGTGGAAAAAAATTATCTCATATAAAATAAAAATAATTATATATTACGAGTAATATATAATTATAATATTAAAATAACTTTAATTTTTTTCTCACATATATTATTGGCTGACGTGGCAAAAAAATAATAATTTTACTATTATAACTATATACTACTAAAGTACTAATAGTATATAATTATTATTTTTTGCATGAAATATTTTTTTTTTCAATCTAACGTAAGAAAAATAAACCTAATAAATATTATCTATCAATTAGAATGGTTATGAAAAATGAGAATGTTACCTGTAGTAAGGATTGATGTATCGTACTGAAAAGATGGATGATAAGAACCACGTGTCAAAGTATCTTGATATTTTTCTTTGTTCGTTAGTTAGCATACATACCACCAATACCTCACCTGTAGTAAGGATTGATGTATCGTACTGAAAAGATGGATGATAAGAACCACATGTCAAAGTATCTTGATATTTTTCTTTGTTCGTTAGTTAGCATATATACCACCAATACAAAATCTAATTAACATAACCTTTTAGTGATAAAACAGTTAAATACAAAAATTCATTGAAATAAAATAGTTTAATCTAACATCCTAAAACACTGATTAGCCCAATAACAATTTGGCTAGATTACACACAATTGAGCTTAGTTCAATAGTTGTCCGAGTCTTAGATGGAATAGGAGCTATGATATTATGGATTTTCTCGATGCACTGCGACTTGCAGGATGCTCTGCGAGATGGAGGTCTTGGTTGATTGAGGCAATTGGGAGGAGGTGTCTGTAAGTCACTATGACGATCAAATAAGTATATGAGTGATGTGTTTTATTTAAGATAGAATAGATGATCATACATGGGCTTCTAACCTCTATTTATATAGTGACGAATTGTTATGCTTATGTTGCCTTAGTAGGGTGGCATTTAATCTCATTGGTACGTAGAAGTAGCTCTTATAGGCTGTCATATATGCGAGATGTCTATTTGTGGGCTAATTGAGTAAATACCAATGATTGGATCACATTCTGAAAGTCATAGGATCACATTCTGAAAACAAAGCAAAGTGAGTAATTTGATCTTCAATTCCAGTTACCTCATAATCTTCCATCCAAGCAGGCCTTCTTCTAACACGACTAAGAGATTGAGTTTCTTCTTCGTTCACTGCAACTAATGATGGTGAGGATTCAGTGGCAGAAGAAGTTGCAATGGATGAATTTTCAGACATACTAGATGCTGAAATTTGCTCTTGTTCAGAATCAATATCATAAAGAATTTGGGTAGGTTGCTACATATTCCAATGCCAAGTGTTTTCTTCATAAAAAACAACATCCCTACTAATCACAATTTTTTTTTGTTAATGGATTAAATAATTTATATGCCTTGGATGTATCACTTACACCTAGAAAGACATATTTTCCAGCCTTGTCAGCAAGTTTCTTCATTTTTTTGATTCGGGTCATGAGCATATACAATACATCTGAAAATTCTAAAGTGTCCACATTTGGTTTTCTCCCACTCCAAGCCTCTTTTTGCGAATGCAAAGGTTGGACTTCTATTCAAGACATGAATGCACCAATTTTCTACTTCTGGCTAAAATGTCTTTGGAACTCTTCCTCTTGCCAATAAGCTTTTAACCATGTTGAGGATGGTTCTATTCTTCCTCTCCAGTACACCATTTTGTTGTGGTGTATATGCAGTTGTAAGCTCTTTTCGGATGCCATGTTCTTAATAGAAAGCTTCAAATTCTTTTAAGCAACACTCACCACCACGATCCGTGCGAAGGGTCCGAATCATCCTTACTGTCTCATTCTCCACACGAGCTTTGAAATTTTTAAATGTAGAGAAAGCTTCTGACTTTTCTAGCAAAAAACAAACCCATGTTTTTCTATATAGAAAAATCATCAATGAAGGTAATTAAATATTTTTTACCTCCATTAGAAATTGGATTTATTGGACCACAAATGTCTGAATGCACCAATTGCAAAACTCCCTTTGCTCTCTATGAGTTCTGTTTTTCAAATTTAGAATGATGTTGTTTGCTAACAACACATTCTTCACATACTAAGGAAGAAATGATTGTGATTTAAAGGAGGCCCATCACCATGTTTTTCTATTGAAGCGTCTTCAACCGACCAAAGCTCAAATTGCCATAGCGAAAATGCCATAGCCATTATGGATCTTTCATTTCATCCATTAAACTAGATTGGATTCCTTCAATCTTTAATGGAAACAATCTATTTGAACTCATCTGAATAACAGCAATAACACCACTAACAGAATCATATATTTCACAAACACCATCATAACCCTTTTCTTATAATTGGCCAGCACTCAATAAACTACTTTTCAAATCAAGAACATACGATACATGAGATATTGTTTCCACAAAACCATTCTTGACTCTTATTTTGATATCACCTTTTCCCATTACTTTTACAATAGAATGATCACCAAAACTCATAGTAGATTGAAAATTTTCATTCATATGAGAGAAAGAAAACTTACTACCACTCATATAGTTGCTGCAACCAGTATCCACATACCAAACATCTGGCTCAATTTTTTTTCATCTTTAGCAAGCATCAATAAGGTTCAACTTCCTCATTTTCCTGCAAAGTTTGGACTTTCTCCTTTTTCTTTGTTATTTGGCGGTCTAGTATAGCATTTAGATTGATATTGTCCAGATTTGTGACACCTAAAATATTCTACCTTGGATTTATCAGGAGCTCCTCCTCTACCTTTGCCTTGAAATTGATCATTATTGACTCTGAAATTAGTGGAGGTATCTTTGATCTTGAGATCTCTCCTTCCTCTTCCTCTGCCTCTACCTCCACCTCTACCTTTACCTTTACCCCTTCCTCAAAAATTGTTGGAACGAGTATCGGTAAAAGCCTTTAATGCTTGCTCATTTGCTTTATCTTATTTGAACTTCTGTTCATGCACCAACAACGAGCTCTGCAATTCATCAAGTGATAAATTATCTATATATTTAGATTCTTCTGTAGCATAAACAATAAAGTTAAAATTTTCTATTAATGATCAAAGACTTTATTCTATTGCAGTTATTTCTTCTATTTTGTCTCCATGAATTTGCATTTTATTGACAATGGTCATCACACGAGAGAAATAATTGGCAATTGATTATCCCGACTTCATGCGAAGTGTTTCGAATTTTGAGCGTAAAGCTTGAAGTTGTTACCTCTTTGCTCTTACAGAGCCTTGACACTTCTTTTTCATTGAGTCCTAAATATCCTTGGAGGATTCTTTGCAAAAAATAGTTTCCAAGATGGAACAATCAATGGCCTGAAAGAGATTATTTCTTTAGTTTTGTCACTTCATGAGCTACTCGTTGTGCTGCTATCAACTGAGCTCCTTCTGCTGGTTCGGCAACACCATTGGTAACTACGTCCCAATATTCCTTGGATTGAAGGAAATTCTCCATCAACATGCATCAATGATCATAGTGACCATCGAAACGTGGAATGACTGCTTGCACAAAATTAGAATCTATGACCATGACTCTTTACTCTCTTTTTTACAACTCTATTCCCCACTTGTTTGACTCTCAATCTGGCTCTGATACCACTGATAGAAGATTGAGACTCTAAAATTAAAACACATACAAAATATTAAAAAAAGAGAATGCTATATATTTCTCTAATACCCTAAGCCTATTAAAAGGCAATACAAAAAACTGAAAAATTCCTGAAGAGACTTATTACAATGCTAATACAGAGTCTCATTTCACCACATCATCAACTACTCATAACACCCACATTAAACATCATAAGTATTTAACTTCATAACTGACATAAGAAAACCAAGAGATAATTGACTCTTCAACATTCTAACTTGTTGGGAACTTGGTTACCTCAACTCAGCTAAGAAGTCTTTGCAAAAGTCAAACGTCGAGCTAGGAGCTCGGCTCTTCAATCAAAGGTCGGCCTGTATAAATAGGTCGGCTAGCGTAGAGAAAAAAATGAAATAACAGAGAGGAGAGAGAGAGATAATATAAGCAGATTTTAACATGGGAAAACTTTCTCCAATGTGAAAAAGTGAAAATTCATGGGACACTAATCCAGAATCAAACTTCCACTATGAAAATAATATGTTACAAAAGATCAAGCATCACCAACAATGGTGATACATTTAACCTCACCTACAATGGTGGTTATCTCTCAAACTTTCCTAAGAAGGTAAAACACTCAAGCTTTTCCCTAGAGGTGTTCTCAAATTCAAAGCTTTGAGCTTTTTACTCAAAACCCTCAAATCTCATAAGTCAATCTTTTTCTTTTCTTTCTCTTCTTCTTCTAACCTACCTCCATCCCACAACTAATGTATTTATAGGGGAAGGAAGTGGTTTAGTGTTTCTTAAACCCTCATGGGCTTTGGCCTTAGCATTAAGGAGGAAGGCCAACAAATCTCTCTCTTCCGACTTCAATGCGTCGGTATCAACAGTAACCCAGCACCTTCACAGTAGTCTTCAAATTTCCTTGCTGGTACCAGCTTCGTCATCATGTCAGACCAATTCAAGTCGGTGTGCTCTTTAACGAGTTCAAGCTCTCCATCTTCCACCATATCCTGGATCTAGTGATATCTTTCATCAATGTGCTTAGTACATGAGTAATAAGTCGAATTCTTCGCAGGATGACTTGCGCTTTGATTGTTATATCCCAGCTCGTACTTTGCTTGATCATGGCCGTGTTCAAAGAGAAACTACTTCATCCATAATATTTCTTTGCTTGCCTCAGTCGTGGTTATGTTCTCGGCCTCGGTTGTCGAAAGTGCCACACACTTCTGTAGTC